AGAGATTTTTTTTTTTCTCTACTAAAAAATGATATATCATTTTCGTTATATAGGAATTTTTGTAAACCATTCAATAATTATTTTGGACTTCCTTAAACATTCCATAATTGTTATGAAGTTGTTAAACTTCTTTAAATGATAACATTGGATTAACATTTAATCACAATTAACAATTTAACCTTAAATTGTTATATAACAATTTAACTCTTAAATTGTTTACATAACAATTTAACCTTAATTGTTTACAATACAACCCCTTGTAAAATCCAATTTAATATAAAGAAAATGTTAATATAAAAACTTTATTACCCTTGGTAGGTGCTAGCCAACCTTGGATAATCAACTCTCTTTAGTATTTCTCCATTCCTTTGGTTTTATGTGTGACCTCTAGGTTCACTGTGGCCTAGCCGTGGGCCCAATATCACAGTCTATTTCGATATGTTTTGTCATAACTTTATAATAAACTCCCATGATTATGGTAGGCATCTAGCAATGCTCCAAACCCCTAAGTCATAATGAAGATATACTCCAACGAACCTTTACAATCATACACGTTGTATAATCAAATCCTTCCGTTATCTAATCCCAATAAGAATGGATTCATGGTATGTCAAAATCCTTATCTTAATTTTAATTTAATACATATGGAACGTGTCACTATGAAACAACCTTTCATGTAACTTTTGTATACCCCGGCCGGAGATTCCCTTTTCCAATGTATCTTGACATTTGTCTAGGAACTTGATATCAATCTATACCAAGTCAACGGATCCATCTTGACTATCACTGTCTCCCACATAAACAACACATGGCCAAATCGGCTTATTAACACATGGCATGATGGCCTCATGTTTATACACACATAGAACCATATGCGTTTATGCAGAATCCAACCGTGATATCTTAGGTCTAAGGATTAATAATACCCTAGTACGATCTTATGATAAATCATTGACTACATTTTAAATGTCCATGTGATTCATCATAAATGGCCATATTCGATAAACAGTTCACTAACTGCGTATCCATGCTAATGCTCTAGTGATATAACTTTATAATACCCACACCAATACCATCACATGATATTTTACGGAGGCATCAGCATGCCTACTAGTAATATAGTGCCACAATTAATATTACCTATGTAGGAATACTTTGATGATTTTAATCTTATAAAGATTTGTATCATCCGGACATTTCACATGTAATACATATATATAAATGAAGCAATAAACCACATGTGAAATAAGAACACTTTCTTCTATTGATAAGATAAAATTTATATAAAAACTATATACATTCACATATATATACAAAACATAATGCCTCGGAACCGATGACACGATTGGTTCCTAGGGCATACACTAACACTTGTTGGGTCCTAGGAAAACATACTTTAGAGTATCAGGAAAAGCCTTCAACTCTAAGACTGGTGGAGACTCAATTGACCTCAGTTGTGTCGTCTTAGACAAAGGTGGTAAGGGTTCATACATGATGTTCCAAGGTCGACGCTCTAGAGTGGGCAACCTAGCCATATACGCACTAACCTCTTGAATCTCAGACACGACACTCAAGCTACATATCTCCTCAACAAACGGATTCATAAGAGTGCAAATTGCATCATCACAACATCTGTGGGGCGTGAGTCTCCACTAGACTGTTAATAGTATCAACCATGAAACACTCTTTGTCGTCCTCACGCATCGGTCCTAAACCAGTATTAAACACATTAAGTCTCAGTTTCCTATTCCCAAAAGACACTTCCATCTCTCCTGATCTACAGTTAATGCAAGCATTTGCCGTTGCTACAAAAGGTCTTCCTAAAATAATCGATGGCATACTTCCACTACTCATATACTCCATGTCTAAGACAAGAAAATCCATCAAAAAATATAGTTCCTCAACCTTAACTAACACGTCCTCAATTAGGCCCCTAGGCATTTTGATCGATCGGTCAACTAACTGCAGGATGACTTCAGTAGACTTGAGCTCACCTAAGTTAAACTGTTCATACACGGAAGTGGGTAATAAGTTCATGCTCACCCCTAAGTCTAAGAGTGCGCTATCAATTGTGACATTACCTATCACAAAAGAAATAATAGGAGCTCCAGGATACTTTAATATCGGGGGAATGTGGTTTGAGACAACCGCACTTAAATTTTTCAGTAAATGTACAGTCTTGGGTGTGTGAGATTTCATTCGCCTCTTTTGTGTGCACAAGTCTTTGAGGAATTTGGCATAAGCAGGTACTTGCTTAATGGCATCTAAGAGTGGAATGTTAATCTGCACCTGCTTAAACAACTCAATCATTTCCTCCATCCTAGCGCTTTTCCTAGTGTGAGAACATTTGGGGGCTCTAAGCACTAAGGAAAGGGGTTGCCGGAGGTCATCGGAAAATGGCAAAATCATGGCTAGAATGCGAAACGTCGCGGCGGTGCAACACGTGATCGCGGTGGTGATCTGGGACGATGATGATCAGTGCAAATGGAAGATGAAAGGTCGCCAGAGGTCATCGGAAAAGGGAGACGAAGAGTCGCCAGAAAATGGCACTATGGATGGATGAACGGTGATACTGTTTCACAACCCTTCATGTTCTTTTTATACACAAAGTAAAAAATATCACTTTGGTCCCTGGACGATTGAAAAGTGACAAAGTCAACCATTATAAATATGACAGTTTACCCCCTAAACAACATAAATGAGATAAAATCACCCCTAATCCATAAACCACAACCTAATATCAACTCATACCCTTTCCAAAATCATTCCAAACATGTTAAATTCATAAGAAAAATATTAGGAAGCGATTTTCGTGAATAAATTCATAAATTCTTTAATTATCTCAATATGATTTCATTTTAATCACCAATAGGGTCTTTTTATCACCAAAATAGAGTCACTTCCATGACTCTAATAGGTTTTAATTGAATGAATAATTCTCTCATTGTTTTAATTTTAAGTTGCACTTATATAGTGCAACAATTAAAACCCTATTCCACTTAGGAATAGCCATGAGCTCCAACCCTAGTTCACCTTTGCAACCAAACACACCCTTTATGGTATTTTAATTAATTCATTATCATTATAATTAAAATTAATTAATATATAATAATATATTAACATTTAATTAATAATAATAATTTATTTAACTATATATAGAGATATATTTAAATATAATCTCACTAATTTAATTTTAATATTAAAATTAATTGCACTGTAAAATTACCAAAATATCATTTCTTCCTAAAAGACGAAAATACACTACAAGAAAAAGTACTTTGCAACTAATTTTTTTGCAACTAGGCAAAAATAGTTGCAGATACCTTACATTTAGTAACTAAATTCCAATCAATCAGCAAAAGGGAATAAAATTCTTGGGCCCATTTATTCTTGCCTTTGGCGTCTAAATTTAATATTTTTCGACTAATTTGATTTGTTGCCCAAAATATCACATCAGCGACTAATTTATTTGGTTGCCAATTTTTGCGCAAACACAATTGGCAACTACAACAAGGGATTCTGCAACTAAAATTATGGTTACAGAAAACAATTATTTGCAACTACTGGATAGTTGCTAAATTAGATGCAAATATTTATTAATTAATTTGTAACTATTGTTTTAGTTACAAAATAATACAATTACCAAAATATCCAAGCTTCTGACAACAATTACAAAGGGCCCAGGGTACATTTGGCAACTAATTATTTTGTGCATATTACAAATAGTTGCAAAAACTCATGTATAGCAACTAAAATGTATTTAGTCGCTAAAAGTTGATAATTTTTTTTAAACCCAACTTTCCCGGTAAAATGAAAAAATATTATTTTAATTTGTGACTAAAATTACTATTGCGTAACTAATTAGTTAGTTGCAAATTATCTTTTTTTGGCAACTAAGATTTTAGTTTCCAAATGTATGGTAAATTTTGAGCACCCTATGTTCCCTATGTTCTCGCTTGAAATAAATTGAAATTTTGGGTATGTTGTTTTGGCAACTAAAGTTATAGTTGTTAATAGGATTTTTTTGCAACCAAAATGTTAGCCACTAAATATTATTTATTAAAAATAATATTTACTACTAGTAACCAAAATCAATTTTATTGTTTGATTCTACTTTTGTCACCTACATTTCCCCATTGAAGGTAACTTTTTATTTTTATTTTTATGTCAAATCTCATTCTTTTACAAATGGTATTTCAATTTTATTGTTTGATTTTCAATCCGTTTCTTCACAACATTTGTTTAATTTGTTTAAGCATCTGTTGTTAGTGACGTTCCTAAATGGGTGGCTTTAACTTCATAATGGATGATTTTATGTTTGTCTTCTCTTTCATTTGACATTACAATGGCTATTATAATTGTAATGAGTGCTTTAAATTCGTTTATTGTTACTAATAAACGAAGGGTGTTAGATTTTATTTTTGTCTTCTCTTTCATCTGACATTACCACTTTTTCCCTAAAACTTTTGCTTAACCGCTATTTCACTCATTTGTACAAACCCTCATAGTCGACCTCCTTCCGGCATTGGAACAACAATTCTAGTTTCTACTACTCTCGTTCAGTAGACAACAACTCGCTTATTGACTTTGGCGCTTATTCCGTGCCTATTTCGATAGAAATTGTTAACTTCGGTGAGTTTTGGCGAGGCATATCCCGAACACCCAAATGTAGGGGTGTTTAGAAAAATGTAGAAACCGAACTAAACCAGGAACCGAACCAGTTTTTCATTTATCTAGGAAACCGTTCGATTGTGGTCCACAAAAATACAAAAAAATAAATTTCCATATTAAAAAAAAAATAAAAAGTAAACAATTTTTCCTTAAAATTTAAAAAGTAAACAAATTGAAAAGTTCCTAAATCCTTACAATTAAAGAAAAACAAAACCCCAAACCCAGTTTTAGGGTAAAAAAAAAAGTGAACAATTTTGCACAGAAATTTTTGAAACTCAGAATTAAAAAACATTAAAAAGATAGTAAACCCAGTTATACACAATCCCCAAACTAATTTTACCCTAACACGCAAAACACTCTCTACTTCTCCACGCCGTTCGCATTTTCTTCTCCATTTTCCCCCTGAAATCAAGACTTCTCCAGTTGCCACTGCAACATCTCTCCACTGATTAGATCTCTCTCTCTCACTTACACCCACACGAGCGCCTAAAGACTCCAAACCCAAACAATCTATCATGCAATCACACCCTCCAGTCTCCAGGAACTTTGTTTCCTGGCTGGAAACGCAGCTCCGCCGTGCCATGACCACGGCGACACCATCTAAACTCAAACCCATAACACGCTCTTCGATTTAGGTAAGGATTCATTTCTTGTCTTTTTCAATTTGACGTCGTCTGGTTAATATTTTTATGTTTTGTTACTGATTTTTGTTTCATCGTGTAAGAATAAGCCATTTCTCTTTTGTAAATCAAAATCCGACGAAAGTAAACATGTGAGGATTGTTCGATTTAGTTATTCCATCATGGAGTTTTACTGTTATTCCTTGTTTTGGTTGTGAATGAAGAACATGATACATGTGGCTTCCTTTATAATCAACTTTTGAGTGTTCAGGAAAATTTCCCGAAGCTGATGAATTTTCATGTATTGACATTGCATTTTGACATAATAATTAGTTCTCAATGGTACTTGAATTTTTTTTTGATAACTTGTGAATTGGTGCCAAATTTTGGATCTGCTAGTTCATTATCTTTTCTAAATAGAAACATATTGATACTAGTTTATTGGCCACTATCATGCCTTAGATTTTGTGAGTAGTATCTATAAGCTATGTTATTTCTAAGGGATGTAACCAGTAAACTAATCAAATTGGGCAAATATAATCTGTTGATGGAGGCTTCTTTGTCTTTATGTTTAGACTTAGAGCACTTGTCTTTGCTAATGATGTCATTTTCAGGAAAATAAGCATCAAATGAAACTCATGCATGTGCCTAAGTTATTCTTAAAAGTCGTTCTGTTACATAAATCTGCAATATGGATTACAGTTATGGTTCAGTAAAATTTATGGACTTTTCCAATCCATATACTATCCGCCACAATTCCATCTATTTTCTTTTGTGTTTTCATTTTTGTCTGAAGTGTAACAGAGAGGATTTACCATTATGCCCGATCCTTAGAAATATCAGAGAAACTAGTACAGAAAGCATTAGGCAAAACACTTGAAGATTGTGTGATTTGAATCTGCTGTAGGTCAAATTATTTTGTTCATTCTTGATGTTGTTGACAAGGCTTTGGCACTTGGTACTCAAAAACGTGTGCATGGATACCCACTGCTGTTCTGCAGTGCTTCAGAGCATGAGATATATTAATTTTAGTTTGCATTCCTCTGTTTGCAGGGAATGGTGTTTGATCTTGAGAAAGGATCAATCCTATATATTGATCTTGCAAAATCTAATTCCAGACCTAAGCACTCAAGAACAGGTCTGTAGCTTGTTGAATATCTTCCCTTAAAATTTGATTTGATTTCTGTTATATATTTTGGTTGCTCGGTGACGTCATGTGTACTCGTTGGTTATTACTATTAGATGATGAATGAAGTGGCTTAGATAAGAAGGCAAGAGCATCCTCCACATTTTCAAGGGGTTCTTCTGACTCTGGTGGGTGGATTGCCTAGATTTAATTAGTTTGTGTCAGATTACCTTGTGGTTGCTTGTTTAAACAGTTTCTTTTCTTGGCTCACTTTAGACCTTTTAATAATGTTTGTAATCTTTCTCTTGCTCTCATTCATTTGTTTCATATGAGCAGGTTGGTGCTTGTCTAATCTCTCACTTGGACTACAAATTAATTACTTAGTCACCCGAAGGACACATCCTGATAGATGCTCACATTGCACATGTTTTGCATGCTTGGGCGCTAGCAGGTTTTGGCAGCATTCACATACCTGGAACGGGTAATTCTGCTTACAACATGATTGGTTATCCATCTACACAAAGGTCGTCTGCATTACTTAAGCACAACTTTCATTACTTAGAAGTGATTACTTCTAGATCAATTAGCACATACTTTTACTTTCAAGTGATTACTTCTAGCAGAAAGGTCAAGGTCCTAGTAAAAGCGGTTACTACATGCCCTGTTTGCAGAAGTTGGAGTGTAGTATCTACCTTTTTGATTTTCAGTTCTTCATGTATCTATGAAACCTTGTCTGATTATTAATCCTCATTTTCTTTTTTTCTTTTTTTTTTCCCTTTTTCTATCATTCAGTCTTGGAAACCTCAAGGCAAGAGCTGCTAGTGAGATAACAGCTGCCAAATTGGTCGGGCGACATTTCAGCTTGCTTTTCTTTTTAAGTCAATTCCAGTTCCTGGCAGTTACTTACCTATTGTTCTCTCCCGCTCCCAATTGTGTATTTCTGCTATTGCTATATGCTCTATTATATCCTTTTCTTTTAACTTTGAAAGATATAGTTAAGATTACATGGTCTTCATAAATCATTAGTCCTTTGAGATGCTTCCTAACATGTCCTGTCTGCGTGTTTTCTTAAATTTTTGTTGTAAAATTGCATTGTTTTTATAATCTGATGCACGATGGATTTCAAGCTATTGTCAATGCACCCAATTATAGGACCATGCCTTGTTTTCAATCATATTAATAGCCCATTTTCGTCAAGACAATCATCTTGACCACAATAAATTTTACATATGCACGCTCGAACAATTATTTTCCATTGTCAATAACTTCAAGGATCTTTGTTGTAATGGCAGAATAATTCTTCAGTTCCCCCTAATGTCCCCAAAATTGGTACCCCATGTCCAACACTTTTTGTGGCTGTCCAACACTTTTTGTGGCTAATCTCAGGCAATTATAGGACCATGCCTTGTTTTCAATCATATCAATAGCTCATTTTTGTTAAGACAATCATCTTGACCATAATAAATTTTACATTTGCACACTCGAACAATTATTTTCCATTGTCAATAACTTCAAGGATCTTTGTTGTAATGGCAGAATCATTCTTCAGTTCCCCCTAATGTCCCCAAAATTGGTACCCCATGTCCAACACTTTTTGTGGCTAATCTCAGGCCAACCTGTACAGAGCAAGGATTAATTCAAGTCTTTTCTAGGTAAGAACCATAACTTTTGTTATGAAATATATTATTTTGTTAATTTTTTTTTTGGTTGACATTTTTTCTATCAGATGCCCAAGATATCTGAAATTGAAGATGCAGAGCACACATGGAGCTCTAATTGCATTTGTTGATTTTCAGGTGCTCAACTTACTTTATTGATGACATGTTCTCCTTTCTCATACCTGTTAAAGAGAGAGTTGACTTAATAGCATCTCTCTTTCCTGTAGGGATGAGTTTGTTCATTATTGTAGCCCCTCTAGGGTATATGAGTAGGACATGCTGAAAGAAACAAATTAGAAAAATAAAATAAAATCAACTTTTTTCAAACAAAATGCCATTAAGTTCATGCACTAATTTCCTTTCAGCTTACAATCTTATATTTCACCATATGCTAGCATGTCAATATGTGAGGTTTAATTGTATAATTAATTTATCAAAATTATTAATGGGATATTTATGAATTTAAATGTTCAAATTTCATCATTTGCATGTCGATTCTGTTTGTAAAAAGCAGTAAAAATCCATAGTCATTCACATAAATTTTTAGTGTATTGAGAAAGCATCACTGGTTTGCATTATTGAGGACATGAACTCTTGATTTATTTTCTTGATATCTTATGTAAGGAGGGCCAAATTCAGATTAAAGAGTTGGAGGAGCAGTTCATCTTATTTGATCAACAAAAACAGAAAATAAAAATGCTTGAAGAACAACATTTTCAAATGTTGGAGATGCTAAAGCAGATCACTATAGCAGCTGCATATTTCCAACGAGCTAGAGCTCCAACTCGACTGCCATCGCCATCTCCAACTGATGAAATGTCTTCCTCATCTGCTAGTGCTATTTCATGAACCTCAACTAGTGACACTAGAGATGCTAACAATATTGATGGTTAGTTTTTTGTTATATGGGCAGCAAATATTTTGACATGGGGGTAGGATCATCTTTTGGACTTTTTAGGATTGCTTGCATATATCCTTTTAGATGATGTACATGGGTGGGCATTTTGTTTTTTAGTTATGCACGGATAGATAGCCACTATGAAATGTGGTGCATGCCCTTTTTTTTTTTTTTTTTTTTTTTTTTTTTTTTTTTTTTTGGGTATGGCACATGTGATAGTGCATTTTGGATTTTTATTGCTCATCATGCATAAAAATCCATGTATGGACTATATATATAAATATATATATGTATGAAAATATGATATTTGATGTTAGTGATCAGATTTTTATATTGTGTCAATTATTTTGTTGAGGTTGAATGTATAAACTAGGTCAATACGAAATGCTCTAAAAAAAAAAAAAAGCACATTTTGCAACTAATTTTTTTGTACAAAGAGTAATTTAGCATAATTGCATTTTGTTGAAGTTCAATACGAAATGCTCTAAAGAAAAACACATTCTGCAGTTAATGTTTTAGTAGCAAAAAGTAATTTAGCATAATTGCTTCCACATTCAGTGTCTAAAGTGATTAGAATTAACCATCAAATTTTGGTCACCAAAAGATACATTCATTCACTAATAAAATAGTCGCGAAAACTTTTTGGATTTCAAATTCAGCGTCTGAAATGTTTAGAATTAACCATTCAATTTTGGTTACTAAAAGATATATTCGTCCACTAATAAAATAGTTGCAAAAATCTTTTGGATTTCACATTTATTGTCTAAAATGATTAGAATTAACCATTAAATTTTGGTCATTAAAAGATACATTCGTCCACTAATAAAATAGTCGCGAAAACCTTTTAGATTCTACATTCAGCGTCTAAAATGACTATAATTAACCACTAAATTTTGGTCACCAAAGGATACATTTAGCCACTAATAAAATAGTCGCGAAAACCTTTTGGATTCTATATTCAGTGTCTAAAAGTATTACAATTAACCACCAAATTTTGGTCACCAAAAGATACATTCGTCGACTAATAAAATAGTTGCGAAAACCTTTTATAAAATTACCCTTACACCTTTAGCGTCTAATTTTTGTGGCATTCGTGACAAATTATTAGACACTAAAAGGTACATTTTGCAACTAATTGATTAGTCGGATACCATTTTACCAAATTACCCTTGAATAATTAGCGTCTAAGCGAGAGGACTATTTTAACCAGCAATTAGCGACTAATTTGCTAGTCGCTAAAAAAAAACTTTCCGCGTCTAACCAAAAATTTGGATGCGCATACTTTCCACGACAGCAATTCTGCAACTACGTGGCGACTATGAAATTTAGACGCGAAATATGATTTAGCGTCTAAATTTTACTTTCTACGTCTAATTTTGCTAGAAGCCGAAAGGCATTTTTCTTGTAGTGATATACTTTTATCACAAATTGATTCTTAAATTATCTTCTAAGTGTGTGACCTGTAGGCTCTTCATCATATCGGCAGTATGTAGTATCGCGATTAACACCAATTAATCATCTCACTACACATAGGCCAAGATTGGCTCCTAGCAAGGCATCATGACCACCTGATAGATTCGAATTCAGCGAAACCACAGCCTGTCAACGGTTTGGTTACCGTGCAATTAAATCCTTTCATCAACTATTATCTCATCGAGACTGAGGTACAAAAATAGTGTCAACCTCAGATATCCTCGACATGTTTGTATTCAGTTACTGGACCAATGACAGGAATATTAAATTGGATTGAGCATCAACTTAATCCCATTGTGGCCACAGATTTAGTGTCATTGTCATTTACTGAATTACCCAGTGAGATATCTTCTCCCGTACCCAGGAGTGATGAATCCTTTGTCGATCCACCATAGTCTCGATACACTTCTCAATGTAGGCAATCACTACCGTATTGATAGCTCTGAATAGAACTACGTTGGGCTAGTGTCAAACTACACCAATTGCTGCACAAGACGCCCTGGTGATCTCAAGTCTAAGGATCACATGCACCACCATCCGTTAGAGAATTTATTCCATAGATACTAGGATTACCATTCATATGGAATCCTCTCGTGGGTTTGTCCAGTGAACTTGCCTTTAGCAAGAACCCATGCTTTGCACCAGGTTGTCGGTAAACAACCTTCACCAGTGAGATCAGTCACTGCCTTTCGACAGAGTCGTTCAACCTATGATAGTCTTACCGTATTACTTGTGTCCTTGGTCAGAATAATATTGGGGCTACGGACGTTTCTAGAATGGTCACCATATGTGATCATAGGGTTCTCACTATCAAGATTTGAAACACTTGATACCCGCATCACGGTTCTGCCATCCTAAGGATATATATCAATATATATAATATGATTTACGTGATATAGTAGAATATGCATTTTATTGATAAATAAACATTTATTATAGAGTCAATTTTACAATAATTGATTAGCTTTAGGGCACATACTCTAACAATAATTGATATAGTATGTTTTAGCTTGTATCATCAACTATGAAAGGTTGTAAGTTTTCTTGATCAGTTCAATTAATGAAATTCAGTCATTCTTCCAGCATTTTTCTTCTACACATTCTAGAATTATGTTTTTCTTGAACTCTTCTAAACTATTTTCATGTGCCAATAAGATTTTATTCTTCTTAAACGACCATGTTTATTTATTATAACATCTTTATTCATATCCCGTCTATTTTTTTGTCTTCCTGATTAAATAAAACAAATCAAAATATGTTGTGATGTGAATTAACAAAATTTTAAGTAAAAAACTAAGATACTCAATAAAACATAAACAATTAAACAAGACCGAAGCCGAATCGTATAAACATTTTATAACCATACTGTCAAACTACAGTTAACTACTTAATTAATATATTATGACATCATCATGACATCTTTGACTTGGATATTTAACAAAATATTTATTGCCATTTTCTTTAAAATTGTGCCAATAAGATATCATTATTATTAAATCACCATGTTTATTTATTATTGATCGGTGCATTATATTATTATGTGATATTTTTAATGTGAGATTACTGTTAAAAGTCAGGATATTAGAATTTTGGTTTAATTATGGGTTAATGTATTTACTTTTTGATTGATGTGTTCGATATTTTGATGATGTTTGGTATTCTGATATTTAATGTCGTTCTTAATGTAGTGCTTTTGTTAAAGTGTTGATCAGATAAATGATACTGTTTATGTAGATATTTATATGATATTAATGGAATTCATAAAAGCAAATATTTATATTAATTAAACAGGATCTGTTTCGTACTGCTTTAAAAAAATTCGTACTAATCAAATTTATCAAATGCATCAAATGCTTAATATACCTATATAGAAATTTAGATAAATAAGAACCGTTTACATTTAAATTTAATTAATACTTAACATTAAATGATTAAAACCAAAATATTTTATATTCGTTAATCTTATAGATATAAAAAAAATCAAATAATTAATGTTCAATGAACTAAAAATATCATCATTAATTTACAAAAGTACTAAAAACCAGATTCAGATAACAATACTGACTCTCATTAATAATTAAAAAAAAAAAAAAAACGTTCGCTGTCCACACGCGAACTATATAAACCACAGAGACCATATCGACAACATAATTTCCATATACTTGCACCCAAAAAGCAGCACCAAAACATCATGATTCCTTACAAAAGAATGAAAACACAGCCCACAAATCTGTTACATTTACCATAAAAAATTCTACAACGAATCATCGTAAAAGCAACTAACAAAGACGACACCGCTTTACAAGCAATACAGTTAATGTAAGTTTTACTAAAATCATCATATTTCACTAATTTGTTGATTTCATTATTTTCTTGGTCATACAGAAAATGATATTTATACAAAATGGTTAATCATACAACTAATAACAATAGGATAATGGTTTGTTGGGCAGATGTCCTATTAGGATAATGGTTAACCATACAAATGGTTAAGCTAAACCATGTATATCTTTTGTTGTTAACAGATTTCTAATACATAAAAACCAAAATGTGTTTTAGAATCCATATTTAACTGAGTTATATTTGGTACACTTTTTTATTCTTAATTCCTTAATCATACAAGTAATGGTATTGTGATTCCCAACTGTTGATTTTTTTTAATTATTGCAAATATTGTGATTCGAAACCATTATTTACCGTACAATTTATAGGTGCAAATCTTTGAACAAACAAGCAAACATAAAGCAAATCTTACAAAGAAGAGACATCTCAAAACAACACAAACTGTCAACAATAACAACAGTAGGACTTTCAATTCTGAAGACACTTGCAGAAGTAGAAAATAAACATGCTTTGCTACTGCTTGGAACACATTTGTTCTTCATCAAACATGATACATATATGGGATTACAACTACTAGTTGCAGTTTGCAAAAAATATAACATACAAGCAATATATCAAACTGTTGTTGCTCTATTTACTATACATCACAACAGAGGTATACAAATTCTAATGAAATTAGTAAAACTACCTAATCATTTCTACAAACTAAAATATTGCAGGGAAGAATTCAATTCCTTGACTCCAATTGCCACAATTCTCATTAAAAGATGAATATTTGGGACTTACAACAAGGAGAATCAAAATCGTATACACTAAGACAGATCAACGTCACTAGAAAATATCACATGTCATAGATGTGATGTGGATTAACAAATAGTTTGTATGAAATTTAATTTTTAGTAAGTTTCTTATGAAATTCCTTGCTCATGTAAAAATTTAAAGGTTTTTTAATTTAATATGAAAATAGATGTTAAAACTCACTAGATATCTACGAATTGATCCAAATATTTAATAACTTATAGTGATCAATAAAACATAAACAATGTTTAAATAAGAATGTTAAAGAACAATGATTATGAGAATCTCAGAGAATTAAACATGTTCAACAAACAGCAATCTAAATACCATTCCTATAATATATCAAAAAAAAATTCCATATCATTATAGATTAGATTAAATTCCACGCCAAACCACAACATATTTTGGAAACTTGCCTGCCAAACCACTGTAAACTATTTATTACGCTTTCCTTTAATGCAGTACAAATAGTTTGCTACCGTTTTGTATCCCCTTATCCAAAAAGTTATTAACACTTTTTCAATCAACGTGTTTATTTGTTACTAGATGTCTGTTCATTTTCTCAGAGCAACTTTTATATTGTTTGATACAGTACCCCAGAAATTGATTGGGTTGTCATGTTCTCAACTGCTAAACAAACAAGGCAACGATCATAAAATAATCCCAAAAGCTTTGAATGAACTATATAGACACTACAAGAAAAATGCCTTTCGGCGTCTAGCAAAATTAGACTTAGAAAGTAAAATTTAGACGCTAAATCTATTTCGCGTCTAAATTTCGTAGTCGTCACGTAGTTGCGAAATCGCTGTCGTAGAAATTATGAGCGTCTAAATTTTTTGTTAGATGCGGAAAGTTTTTTTTTTAGCGACTAATTACTAGTCGCTAATTGCTGGTTAAAATAGTCCTCCCACTTAGACGCTAATTGTTCAAGGGTAATTTGGTAAAATGGTATCGCGACTAATCAATTAGTTGCAAAATATACCTTTTAATGTCTAATAATTTATCGCAAATGCCACAAAAATTAGACGCTGAAGGTGTAAGGGTAATTTCATAAAATGTTTTCATAACTATTTTACTAGTAGACGAATGTATCTTTTGGTGACCAAAATTTGGTGGTTAATTGTAATACTTTTAAACACTGAATGTGGAATCCAAAAGGTTTTTGCGACTATTTTTTTAGTGCCCGAATGTATCTTTTGATGACCAAAATTTAATGGTTAATTGTAATCATTTTAAACGCTGAATGTAGAATCCAAAAGGTTTTCGCGACTATTTTACTAGTGGACGAATGTATCTTTTGGTGACTAATATTTAGTGATTAATTCTAATCATTTTAGACGCTGAATGTGAAATCTAAAAGGTTTTCGCAACTATTTTATTAGTGGATGAATATATCTTTTGATGACCAAAATTTAGTGGTTAATTCTAATCATTTTAAACGCTGAATGTAAAATCCAAAAGGTTTACGTGACTATTTTATTAGTGGACGAATGTATCTTTTGGTGACCAAAATTTGATAGTTAATTCTAATCACTTTAGACGCTGAATGTGGAATGCAATTATGCTAAATTACTTTTTGCTACTAAAATATTAATTACAAAATGTGTTTTTTTTTTTTTTTTTTAAGAAAATAATTAGTGACCAAAGCATTTCGTATTGACATAGTTTATACATTCAACATCAACAAAATAATTGACACAATATAAAAATCTGATCACTAACATCAAATATCATATTTTTATACATATATATATAGTCCATACATGGATTTTTATGCATGATGTACATTCAACATCAACAAAATAATTGACACAATATAAAAATCTGATCACTAACATCAAATATCATATTTTTATACAAATATATATAGTCCATACATGGATTTTTATGCATGATGAGCAATAAAAATCCAAAATGCACTATCACATGTGCATAACCAAAAAATAAGCATGCACCCACATTTTCCCCACTAGCTATCTATCTGTGCATAACTAACAAAAAAATGCCCACCCCACGTACACCATCTAACAGATATATGCAAACAGTCCTAAAAAGATAGTTCTACCCCCATATCAAAATATGTACTCCCCATACAACAAAAAACTAACCATCAATAGTGTTAGCATCTCAAGTGTCACCAATTGCGGTTTTTGAAATAGCTGTAGCTGATTAGGACGAGTCTTCATCAGTTGGAGATGGCAATGGTTGTCGAGTTGGAGCTTTATCAGATTGCTGTAGTTCAAGGGCTATAGTTAGTTGCTTCATCATCTCCAACAGGACAAATTGTTCTTGTTCAAGGCTTTTTATTTTCTCTTTTTGTTGATCAAATAAGATAAGCTGCTCCTCCAACTGTTTAATCTTATTTTCTTCTTGTTGCACAATGCACCTTAACTCTGCTTCTGCTGTAGTAACACGATGCTCTGTGTGTGAAAATGCAAAATTCTAGTTAAATCCGGAAGCTTTACCCAGAACTTCCTCACATATTTCAGCTTCTATTTTTTCACTTTCCCCTGCTTGTGTTTCATCTTGCAGGTCTATCATTTTTTTCTTACCATCAATTCAATGCATAATCAATAAGTCAACCAAGAAACTAAATAGCAACATAAAAGAATACTGCAGCAACAAACAAAAATAAAATTGATGGAGTAGAGAAGCAAGTATCTCAAAGATTATCAATCTAAACTTCAATGCCCTAGTTTTAAATTTTAAAGTTAAATATTTACTAATCAATTAAAAACATGCTAACATAAATTAAACAGTTATGAAAAACTAACATTTCCATACATAAACTCTTAATGAGAATTAAATTCCATCAAAGAGATAAAGTTTCACTCTTTTTATCACATCTTTACAGTGGAACTGCCCAAAATAAATAAAACAAAAGGCTGGTTTTTGACTACATCAACAGATAGGCGTGGCAACAATGACCATTTTCATTCCAAAAGCCATTAATGTATACATCATCATATAAGAAAACCTTCTAAAATGTCATAAAATCAACTTGTGGCAGGGTGTGTTCCCAACAGAAAAACGCAACACAATTGACAGTAGGCCCAACTACATCACATGACATCCAAGAAGGCAAGAGTCCATTTCCATAAAACTTAGAATTCCAAATGCAGTAGCACCACTAAATTCTACAATTAATGGACCTCTTCTTGTTGGGAGGAGTCACAAGCTAACACTATACAAGAAAAACCATGAACAATATACTTATACAGAACATAAGACCGTATTTCATTGAACTTTTTATTTAAAGAACATAAGACCATGACCAGTCAACTAATATTTAAAGAACATAAGAGTTTGTCCCCTATGTGGATTAACAAATTACCACATATAAACACCACAACTCTTGGCTTAAGGAGAAAATAAAATCAGGCCCAAATTTCAGAAAACAAACCACACTGCATGCTGATAATGATAACAGGGAATTCCACGGAAAAAGCTGATACACCACTCAAAAGAATAAAGAAACTATTTCCAGAAAACTCAACAAGAACTACAGGCATATAATTACAAACTCAAAAAGGTATTAAAAGAAAAGTACAACATACAAATACCTACTACATTTTATTCACCACTCCTTTTATGCTTACGAAAAAGCTACTCCTTTTCACTACTCTTGATCACAACACATAACATATAACAGAAGAGACCTTATATCGATAATTGAAAGATGATCAACTTACATATAGCTATCTTGCTTGTTCATTAATCCACCCTTTCTCGGCGCTCTAACGAGTGTCATGAAATAATTGTATAGGACCGACAGATTCCCCAAGTTGGTTTGCCTTAACAGTTCATATCGTCATTGACCATAAATTGAAATAAAATTAGTAAACAAGAAAACAAAGTTGTATATTTGTGTGGGTGAATAATATTAAATAACTTTTTCTTTTTGTGCTGGATAAAGTTCTTGGAACCACTGCGGTGGTTACACCTCATCTTCGACCGGTTCTCAGAATAAGTTTTTGACCGTGCCTAACACCACAAAATTTAATATTAAAATACAATACATATATAATAACATTAAAAACCATGTTGACCTTACCTGAAACTTTTCACTAGAAAAAAGGTCACAAAGATATATCCAATCATCGGGATCTTTAATTTATTAAGGTCTATTCTGTAATGCTTCCTCCTTAGTAGCATATGCTTTGAATTTCTTGTGTAGGGCACTCAGGAAGATGTTGAATCTCTTACACAATTTGTGCTTAAGCCATTTAAATACATGGGGCTCAATGAAATAAATGTCAAAATTGATATAAATTCATCAATAATGTACATGCATTAAACTTATATGGGTATTATATATTATTTTCATAAGGAAATATGAGAATATGGATAATGATATTAAACTACATTACCGTGATACGAGCAATCATTTGTTTTTCGACATCATAGGGAACTTTCTTCCAAGTAAGCACTCTAATCGGGGCATAGTTCCTCGCAACTATTCCTACCTCAGTACTCAACTTTGATGCATTTACTCCAGTAGGTATTCCATCTTCTTTTTGAAAGTCTACATGCAACTTCGAGTTCGCTGTTTGTATGACTCTTTCACATCCAACTCCTCTAGTCTTCCCTCTCATGTTCTTTGCCACAATATTGTCTACAAAATCAAAATAATGCATCATTAGTAAATAATATGTTATCACAAGGACGGTTTACATGTTGGTAAAGTAAAATGGATTCTTAAATTTTAAACAAACATTGTAGACAATATCTAAAATCCAAGTATATATTTCAGTATGCTTATATTAACCAATATCATAACTTAACCAGTGTTTGCAGCAATTTCAGGAGTCCGTACAGGACTATGATTCATTCGAACAACATTTGCACGTCTAGCTAGGGTCCTTCTTGTACCAGGAGCTATCTTCGGAATCTGCAAACATCAACATAAGAGAAAACATACCAGGTAAGATATAAGTCACTTTATACAATTAATCTCACGAAATTAGATCATTAACTATATTTACACATACAAAAAATAGTAAAGAGTACATATAATCATACAAGCATATCATACCAGGTAAGATATAAGTCACTTTATACAATTAATCTCACGAAATTAGATCATTAACTATATTTACACATACACACTCAGTAACGTCACTGTTCAAAAAAATGCATCATCCACTAAAGTTAAGCATAATGAGACAGTAATATTAAGCCTGAATAATCAAACAGTAATGCCAAAATGTTCACTAAAGTTGGAATAGAAGAAAATGTTGGCAGCTCATCTTGCAGTTAAAACATGAAAAAGAACAGCTTTTTGTGCCTAAAATATGGTGCTTTTCTCTTTTCTATCTTAACGTATTTTCTTTTTCATACATCTCCTGGTGGCATGTTTTCTTTTACAAATTTATATTCTTTAAATATTTTAATTTAAGCTGCTTGATGTGTTCTTCAGATTAGTTTCCAAGAGTTTAAAAACAAGCTACTTGAACCTGGTCTGGTGGATAAAATTGTTGTTTCAAACAGATCAGTTGCCAAAGTGTATGTGAAAAACACAGAAAAGCAATGCAAATAAAACCGATGATGAGTTTAAATAGGTGCCAGTGAAGTGAAGTGGTTTCAAGAATTGATGAGGTTTGCACCAACAACCAGACAAGCTAATGAAACAACTAGTGATCCCAAGTTCCAACCTTCAATAAAAAGATCAGTCCATAGAAAGGCATGCACAGAAACACACACACACAGGGAGAAGAGAATGTAAACTATAACTGAAAAAGAAAGGTATCTTGCCATTGAATATATAACTCCATTAAGTTTGGCCTATGGTTGAATAATAAAATTTTCAGATTTTTTTTTTTTTTTTTTTCACATATTGATTCTAACTCAGCAGGTCTCAAAGTTATTGGTTCTACAAAGCCAGCATATCATTATCATATTTTTCCACAGCCAGGCTACAAAAAATCTATAGCACAAGTATTTTATGGTTTGAAAGGCATAAAACAATCTTTAGACAATCAATGGTCTGGAACCTAACCAGAAAACACCTGCAAAAGTTTAACACAAACCCAACAGAACGCCAAAGTAATCTAAGGTTTAGCATTACTGATATCAAATGGTCAATCCAACATAAATAGTCCAACCAAACAATAGATGTGATTGATTTGAGTTGTGGAGCAAAGAGAAGCAACCCATGATTCCTTAAACGCCACCTCAAAATCGGCACTCCTTAAACGCCATCTCACATGCCACCTCAAAATTGGCACTCCTTAAACGCATTCTAACACTTCTACCTTGACACCACAGCAACCCATGATTTTTTTTTTTCAACTACCCCCTTAATATAAATAATTGAATAGCAGGGTATTTCATAAATAGATGAACATATAATATTAACATTAAACAATCAAAAATCTGTTTTATGTTTCTGTGAAAATTTAATCAAATACGATTTTTCCTTTTAAGCAATTTTAAAGGTCATAATAAACAAAAGGGAAAATTTTATAAGGCCAACTTTCTCCAGAACAGACATGAACCCATCATCTCAAAATTACACAATAAACGCAAGGGAAGAGAGGTTGAGAACTCAAAGAAGAATGTTTTGCAAATAAACAAAACCCACCATGAAAATGCAAACTCGAAAATGTTGTGTATATTACTTATAATCCGAAGCCAAAAGAAAGATGCACCAGGCACATAACAAGCATATTACTTATAACCTGAAGCATTTATTTAACCATTGTTTGAGATTACGGGAAAATGTACCCAAAATGAAAAGACATAAAAACAAAACCTACTGCTGAAATAAACTGAAAACACACGCAAACACTGGTAAAGTTTTGAAGAGTAAATCACCAAAGAAATAATTTTCTGAAATGGTAAAAAAGAAAATACCAGATTGGTTCTCTTTGCTCCACAACTCCAATCAATCACAACTACTAATTTTCTGAATTGTCTGAAATTAGCAAAATAATCCAACAGTGAAACGAAGAAATAGAGAGAAGAAGAAGTTTTAAGTTCAAAGCTAAGGTTTTTAACCCAAAAAAAAAAAAAAATTACCTAAATAGTTGGATGAATGGTGACTCGCTGTCTAGCTCACAGAGACAACTTTCTCTTCTTGTTGCTTCTGGGTTCTTGAGAATGGTCTGAGGTTGGTTCTAAGGCTGGTCTGGAACCCTTCCCTTCAACAGGAGCTCAGTTTAAGTAGCCGCTGGTGTCGAAGCTGAAACTGCAAGATCTGTTGCAGACGCAGGAACTTGTCTCATCCGCTACTCTCTTTCTCTGATGAACGATGTTGGTTACAATGTGCTTTTTTTGCATTATATAGGCTCACTCCAGTTCGATATTCTTGTGATTTCGAATGCTAGCTGGTGGGGGATTTGCGTGGAGAAGACAAGATCTAGGTAAGGTTATGAGATTGGGAATTTGGGAAATAGTTAGGGATTTACGTAGAGAAGAGATTGGGATTTTGGGGAAAACTGTTTATAAATAACTTTAAAAGGTAAGACTTTTAATTAATTATTTAATTTTTAAATATAATTATATTTTACAAACAAACCAATTTAAATCAATTTGTAACAAAATAGTCAGGAAAGCACCAATCATAGTTGTCTACTGGCAGCAACACGCCAATTTGGGGGGAACACAAATTTTTCAACTAAAATTGGCAATCAAACCGAATTTAGTTGTTATATATAATTTTTTGTAACTATTGTTAATATGAATAAAAATATTGGTTGCTAAAAATACCTTGGGGCCCTTGTAATTATTGTCCAAATATAGGATATTTTAGTAATTTCATTTTTCTGTAACTAATCATAATAATTACTAATAAATTCCTAATTATTCGCAACTAATTTAGCTACTAAAGGATAGTTGCAAAAAATTGTTTTTCGTAACGAATAATATAGATACAAAATATAATATTTTAGATGCAAATTGTCAAATTATGGAGGGAAAAATCGCCCGCTAAAAATGGCAACTAAATTTATTAGTCACTAAAACAACATGTTCTGCGACTAACAAAATAGTAGCAGAACATTAACTTTAGATGCCAAAAGTTAGAACATGTGGATCCTGAAATTTTAATCCTCTTTGCCCGACCAATAACAATTTAGTTAGTAAATGTAGCCTTTTTGCAACTAATTCTGGTTAGTTGTTAAAAAATTGGTTACAGGATATAGTTTTTCTTGTAGTGAGATAGACATTCATTTTCAAAATCAACATGAGGATTATGGATGTGAAAGAACCATCTGAATCTTATATTATGACAAAAATTCTCGCATAAAAGATTAGTTCATTCTTATCATCCTTTCTATTGAACTTGTGTGAAAAAGATTTTATTCTTCTTAAATCTCAGTGTTTATTTATTATGTCATCTCTATTCATATTCCATCTATTTGTTTCCTATTTCTGTTTAGATAAAACAAATCAAGATATATTCTAATGTGAAGTAACAAAATTTTCATTACAAAATGAAAATACTGGATAAAACATAAACAATATTCAATATTTTAATAGATATTTAATAAGAATGTTAGACAAAACTGTTTATGAAAATGTTAAAATCAACAAACATCAATCTAAGTATATTATAATCTTAATTAAAAAAAAAAAACTATAAATAACCATTTCTATTACAAATTTAAAAAAACTTTTGTAGCATTATTGATTAAACAAGACTCAAGCCGAACCATATGAATGTTTCATAACCATATTGCCAAACCACAATTAAAAAAATTAATAAATATATTATGACATCATCATTTCATCTTTGACTTGGATACTTAACAAAATATTTATTGCCCTTTCTTTAAGATTGTATCAATAAGATTTTATTATTAGTAAATCATCGTGTTTATTTATTATAATTCTCAACATCTTGCCAAACCATAATTAACTACCTAACTAATATGTTATAATATCATTATGACGTTTCTGACTTGCACACTTAACAAAATATTTATTACGGTTTTCTTTAATATTATACAGATAGTCTACTAACGTTTCGTATTACCTTATCCAAACAATTATTAACACTTTTTCGATCGACACTTTTATTTATTACCAATTGTCTGTTCAGATTCTACCTCTTCGTATCCTATTCTCCTATAAATATTACTTTGACATCAATCACCCATTTAGCTTTCTTCAAATACTATATACTTTCATTGTTCATTTCTTCTCCCAAATTTAATTCGAAAATGGCTGACAAAACATCACAATCAAAAGAATCTACAACGAATATCAGCAACGACCTCAATAGCAACAATTCTCCACCAAGACAACCAGAAGGTACGAATGTTCCACATCTTTTGTATCCTAAATTGCAAAATGTCAAACAAAACAATAATACATATTTGCGGGAATATAAAAACCATTAAAAAAAAAAAACTTTTTTGATATGTCAAGAGTTCATTTCATAATTATATTTATAGATTCATGTTAGCGTTTCCATATATTTATAAAATTTGATTGTATTTTATTTCTGCAATTGGTTTAGACATTTTTTAGGGAATACACTTTTTAGGGAATGCCAGAATTGAGGGAAATTCTAAAAAAAGTTGACACCAATCTGGATGATCTACATGCTGCTAGAGAGCAATTCAGATAAGTCATTGACCAGGTATTAGAAATCATGCAATCTGCCATAGATATTATCTATAACATAAACAAAAGAGAGTAAGCATTTGCACTAGAAAAACTAAACAACTGTAAGAGAAATAGAAAATAAACACCATCTATATCATCCAAACCCACTTCACAATATGACAAACCGATGTGCTTATTTCTTTTATAATAAAAGTATTATTCTCTATGTTCAACTTTATCTTGATTTCAATGTTACTCATTAATTTATTGAAATTTTGTACTCATTTTGTGGATATACAATTGTTCCTTTAATTGACGCATTGGATTTATTGTTTAATGAATCTACTAAAATTTCTCCATCTTGACACGTTCGTTTTGATTTAATTGCTCCATCTTCACATGTTGGATGAGTATTAATAATAATTATATAGGTAAATTACATAGGCATTTCAAAAGTCTAATCATTTTGAATAAAAAACATATAAAGATGGAAGTTAATCTCTTCATATTCTGTTTTGTAGCTCTACAATTATTAACTCATAAATTAACCAAGTTATCATATTTATGTTCTCAACTATTAAACAAACAAAGCCTTTGAATGAATTGTGTGAACGGACGTTTGTTTTCAAAACTTGGCTGAAGATTATTGATTTTAAAGAAATATATGAATCTTATACTATGAGAAAAATTTCACCAGTCAATGTCAAATTTGAAAATGAATATAACTTACAGAAATTGCGAAAGCTCAGTATAAATTTTAAGTTTAAATAGTTGATCTTGATAATATTCACGTGATATTAAATACAATACACAATTTACTATAAAATACTGACATCGAATATCAAAGACATATCTACAAAAATAATATCAATTTTACAATTAGACCATATAATATTTAGGCAGTCTTCTCAAGTTGCATGAATGATTTAATAACATCTTCTTATAATTGATATTAATAATTATAGAGGTACAATTATTAATTTTATCTTAACACAACTCTATACATATATATAATTTAATTTTACTCTAAAATTTGTATAATTTAACGATTATTATCTCTTAATTTAATTAGTTTATTTTGTCAAAATAAATTTATTTACGATCTATTTTAAAAACATTGAATAAACATACCCACACAACGCGCGAGCCCATTGTCTAGTTAATTAAATAAACAAAGAAAAAAATATATCTTTACACTTGAACAAATAAATAATCGAGTAAATAATTTAACTTAACTAAATTTTAATTTATAATAAACTAATAAGAAATAAATTATTTAAAGATATTTTCATTTTTTCGGTCAAATATTAACAGAAAACACTAACAGAACCTGATGAATGGTGGGAAAATGTCATTTTGAAACTTGACTGGTGGGAAAGTGTCGTTTTGCCAAACCTTGGGTTGGAAAATGTCGTTCTCAACCAACAATGGGTTTTTCGAGTGGTAAAGGCTTGGGGCCAAGGGGTTTGCTCCCCTGTTGTCTCAGGTTCGAATTGCAAGAACGGTTGCTAATATTGTTGGCCATGGTCCGCAGAACTTGCTCTGTTTCATAAGACTTGTTCGAGGTCGGGGAACTAGTAGAAGTGCGCGTAAGCTGGCTTGAACATCCTTGGTAACAAAAAAAAAAAAAAAAAAAAAAAAAAAAAAAAAATGTCGTTCTCCCACTTTGAATATATAGTCAAGGCCTTTCTTAATTTACCCCTGAAGGATAGTTAAAGTATAAATGCACCCAGGGTTATTTTTAGGTATTAGAAACCCCCTGCAGGATGGAGACTAATGGTGGCCACAGAGAATGAAATGCCCGGAGCAGCGCTGGTAAATACTCACAGATGACCAAAAATTTCTCTCTGCGCTCAGGTAAGTGATACTTTGAAGTTCCGTGCCCCAGATTTCTTGACAATATGTATCTATTTTTTTTCTGTACTAGGTGTGAGAGCGGGTGTACAAGGACTGCTAGTGGTTCAGTCTGAGAACAAGTGTTTGCTGAAGGAAGGAAAGTAGGTTTCCCAATGGACATGATGAATATAGAATTTGTTGCCTATCAGCCTTACATGATGGACATTTCTTTTGTCTGATATATTCACCAAGAACAAGAGTAATTAATGGAAGCTTCAGGACCTTGGAATTATATTGAAGATTGATATAAAGTGGATTTGAAAATTTGTCTCATTGGCTCCTTGACCTTGAGGTTCTGAAGCCAAAGGAAATCTTGCTGCTGTCAAAAGCTTTGAAAAGGATTTTGATTCTCGAGGTAAAATGCCGATGAAAATTTGAAACAAGAAGAATAATTAAACCAAAACATGATTAAATCTTTGAATTTCTTTACTGTGTAATTGTTAGATATCCTCCATTCACAAGTTTTGTTTCATCCATAATGATCCATTAAACTTGAAGCAGTAAGAATTAGCAACAAAGGAAACAATGTAGGAACTCAAAAGGGAAATGATGAAGCCAAAATACTTATGGGCTGGGCCTTACTTCAGATTTGAGCCCATTAAAAGGGCTAAGCCCACCTCTAAGAGAAACATAATCTATGATTAGGCGTTCTAGTCAGTTTCTTATGAATCTAAATACTTCTCATTTAGGGGACCAAATATTAACTAAAATAAGGTGTTTTGTTGCTAAATATGTCATATGTGCATACGGATATTTATGGAAATTATTTAAATTTAAAGGTTTATAAATTAAAAAATATGATTAATAATCATCTTATTTTATTTCTCACCACTAAAAAAAAAAAAAAATCCAAAGATTAACTCATATAAAACCATGAAAATAAATTTGAAAAATTATGGATATTATTATCTTCTTATTTTAAAAATAAAAATAAAAATTTGAATATTCTAATTCTGGTGGCGGCCGAATAAATAGCGG